AATACTGTATATGTTTTTAAACTAGACTTATAACACTATAGGTTTTGAGAATAGGTTAATTAAGGATGTAAGAGGTCAAACGCTGTGGTTTGGTTTTGTGGCAGCACTCTAGTTTTGTAACTGAAATGGAACATGTGTTTCCTTGCTAATAAAGATGTTTCACATCTTGTCAAGGACCATTTTTTGGTCATCATGTGCCTGAAACTCTTCAGCTATTTCCTTTCAGATTGAATTAATTAGACTTACAGGAACTGAATTGATATTTTTGAAGGTGTGTTTTTATTATTTAATGTGTGGTGGTTTTGCTAGGGGGAAAGATGCTCATTCTCTGTCCAGATGTGGCATTACTTCTGCTGTGCTCTTCATCATGATCTATGGACTATTCTACCTCCCAAGACAGCCCAGGAGATTCTTACAGATGTACTAGAGCAATCTTTGGCTATGCTGTCCTCCAGATATTGTCAGGCCTGCCCCAGTTACAAGAGAACACCACAAATCAGGTAATGATTGTATATTTAACGCACACTTTTAATGGATAAAATAAGTAAGTCTTAGTTTTCTGTTATGCACTGCTTTGATTCAAATTTCAATGTTAATGAACACAGCAGAGGGGATAGACACAATTTTATGTATTTTGATGTTCATTTTAATTCAATATATTTTGTATATTCAAGTATGTTTGGTAGTCATATACTAAACCAGGCAGAATCAAAGACCTCTTTTGAACTCTTGGTGAAGTTGTTCCATAAACAGCTTGATTGGTTTGAAAGCCTCATGATGAACAGTGCATTGAGGAGTGGTGACGCACCCAAAAATGTGGGCAGAATTGGCAGCACCAAGATTAGAAATCAAGCCAAGATTCATGAATAAAACTCCATGTGTTCCAATAGAATTTGGGTTTTCATGGGGCTTTTCAAGTGAAAGACCTGCAAGATCACATCAAAAGATTTGCCAGAATGAAGCCAGTGGTGCAGAAAGAGAGAGGATGAAGAAGCTACTCCTTCTCCTGTCATTTTAGGAAATACAAAGCTGGAAGTTCTTCTTGTTGGCATTCTTATGTTTTGCCAGAAAGGAGGGTCTCTCTAAGAAATACTAAAGCAGGTGTCTCCAGGTGGAAGCTTACCCTACCTCTGTCCTTTCTCTTTCTATCCAATGTTTTGTTTGACTGAAGAAATTGGTGTATTTCTCATCCTGCCCCTTCACTATGTATCTTTCCTATATGAATATGTTCCTCTTTGTAGATTTTGAAAGTGATATAGTCCATGGTGGCCATGCAAGTTAAAAAATTAAGAGCTTGTCATTTGTACGAGATGAGAGACACTCAGCAGAGATAAGTTGTTTGTGAGCTAAGAGTTATGTGCTGTCATTAGAAGTTTTATTATGAAAAGGAGCAGTGTCATGGAAGCTTAACTAACTTGCACAAGTTCACATTCTCGGAATAGGTGGGAAAAAACCCAAAGTTTTATTCTACGTATCAAAGTACCTGTTTGTATGCTCTATGCCTACACTAATTTACTGTGATTAGGCCCTTCTATATCTTTAGGTACAGAGAGGTTTCTTGGAAACTTTCCTGGAAATTTCCTGGAAAAAAAATATACCCTGAAATATGAAGAATATGTATTGATACAGTATTTATTATATGTAGTATTAGTCAATTCTATATGAATTCGCTTCGAAAGACTGAACAAGAAAGAACTTTTTACGTTTTTTGTAAAGAAGATGTTTTATTTAATAAGGTGATTCTTGAATTTGTCACTAAGTGAATTGAATTACCCAGTCATGCACAAACAAAAAAAACAATTTTAAATTAATATCATTCAATATATTTTTATCATAGAGGTTTTACTTTTTTTTTTTTTTAATAATACTGTACTTTGGTGGGTGAGTCTTTTCTCCCAGTGGTTCTTGAAGTGTTAGAGATCTCATCTGCAATATAGACAAATGTCTGTTCATGTATGTTTGCCTAGATTTTCCAAAAATAAGATGACCCTTAAAAATGCAGATGATCACATATGCATCCATTGGCTTTTAGGTACTTAGGTACTTTTTTCAGTCCAGCTTCATGCCTGCCCTATACTTTGTGTTATCCATCTGCTTCCTATCTGTTGTATGTCAGCATAGTCTTGTGAGATTTTGTTGTTGTAGTGTGGGTTCTTGTTATTGTTTAGGCCAATGACCCATGATGCTCTGCTAGCCAATATCAACAGGGAACAGATTACTAACTCAGAAATGTTCCACGTCATAATATGTTGCCTGGCAGTTAAAGTTTTGCAAATTGAACCTTTAGTTCACTTGTCATTACTTTTTTGCTCCAGCAGGATTTGAAAACAGTATATACCTTCTAAATATACTTTATCATAAAGAAAACTAAATTTAATTTTATTTAATGTAGTTTAAAATGTAAGTTGTTCCTATCTAGTGTCATTGTCCTTTGGAAGAGGAAATTTCCATATTTTTTAAGACTTCTTTTGATTAGTTTTTGTAACAACTCTCCTGTGGAAGCACTGAATTTTTACAGTGTAGTGGATTCAGAATTCCTACACCACTGATAGAAGATAAAATTTGAAGTCCATGCTATGATTTATGTATTTTATGTTGTCAGAGGAAAGCTCCATTTAACTGAAATTTACCACTATCATGATGTCCCAAGTAATGTTATTTTCACTTTTTTTTTCCTTACAGAATTGATATTGCAGCAATTTTAATGTCCACTGAAGATATCCTCTGGTCAGTTTGCAGCTCTGTACAGGAGTTTCTGAATCCACATGAAGACAGAGATCTCAAGATCTATAAAATACATAGCCACTGCAATAGTCTGCTCTCTGTGCTGGCTATTTTAACTTCACCACTGAAGAATTTGTATGAGTGAGTATGAAAGAAATATTCAGTTTGAGGTAAAATTGGTTCTTGAACTTAATGGATAGGTCTACAAGGTGAATAGTTGTGTTGAAATACAAATGCAATGCATAGTGTTGACAAGTTTTGATAAACTTTGACTGTTTCTCAATTTGGTTTTGAACTTATCTTTACGATCTTACCTAAAGCCCAATTATATCTGCTGGGATTTTATAAGCTTTGGATCAAACTCCTATACTGCACATTTTTTTGTCTGGTGATAATGTAGATCGTAGTGAATGTCTGGTTTGATTTCCTCTGTAACACAAACAGTAGAATTTCATTAATAATTACTGTCCCAAATTTGCAATTTACTGTTCAGTTAGGACACATCTAGTTAGAAACACATTCTTATTGGTCTAAAAACATTTACTACTATGGTACCAAAGCCTTTGGTACGGTTTTTAAGGACTTAGTCACCCATACAATTGAAAACATTTCATCTTACTAGTTCAGATTTATCTACCTTCAGCTTCCAGGTAAATTAGAATGTTCTGCTGTCATCCCATAATAATTCTATAAGTCCTGGAATTTAAAGATAATTTACTGAAATGGTCATCTGTTTACATTACCAGTACACTTCAACAAATATTAAATATAGTTTAAAAGAGAAAGAGTATAGAATGCCCATCTTTATAATATGTCTTCACAAGTCACAACTGTAAACAAAAGGACACGTTACTTGCACTGAAATTGAGTCTGAGTCTTACATTGCTTTTTCATGCTAAAAATTCTGCTGTAAATTTCATTGAATCATAGAATCATAGAATGTCCTGAGTTGGAAGGGACCCACAAGGATTATTGAGTCCAGCTTCTGTCCCTGCATAGGACAACCCCAAAATTCACACCACATGTCTGAGGGCATTGTCCAAATGCTTCTTGAATATTGTCAGGCTTGGCCCCATGACTACCTCGCAGGGGAGCCTGTTCCAGTGCTCCACCACCCTCTGGGTGAAGAACCTTTTCCCAATGTCCAACCTAAACCTCCCCTGGCATATCTTCCTGCCATTCTCTCGGGTTCTATCACTGGTTGCCAAGTGAGAAGAGATCAGTGCCTGCCCCTCCTCTTCCCCTTGTGAGGAAGCTGTAGACCGCGATGAGGTCTCCCCTCAGTCTCCTCTTCTCCAGGCTGAACAGACCAAGTGACTTCAGCCGCTCCTCATACGGCTTCACCTCTAAACCCTTCACCGTCTTCGTGGCTCTCCTCTGGACACTCTCTAGTAGCTTTGTGTCCTTCTTGTACTGTGGCGCCCCAAACTGCACACAGTGCTCAAGATGAGGCCGCACCAGTGCAGAGTAGAGCAGGACAATCCCCTCCCTCGACCGGCTAGCAATACAGTGCTTGATGCACCCCAGGACACGGTTGGCCCTCCTGGCTGCCAGGGCACACTGTTGGCTCATGTTCAACTTGCTGTCGACCAGAACCCCCAGATCCCTCTCTGCAGGGCTGCTCTCCAGCTCCAGATCTCTCTGCAGGGCCTCTCTGCCCTCGAGAGCGTCAACAGCTCCTCCCAATTTTGTGTCATCAGCAAACTTAGATAGTAATCCTTCAAGTCCTGCATCCAAGTCATTTATGAAGACATTAAAGAGCACTGGCCCTAAGATGGATCCCTGTGGAACCCCGCTAGTGACTGGTTGCCAGCTTGATGTAACCCCATTTGGTTTAAGAGACAATACAAAGTGAGATCACAAATTAAAAGAAAAACAACAAAACCCCAAACTGAGAAAGCCAAATCCTATTCAACTATCTTTTATTTTATTATTCTAAATAAGAATATTGTAGGTAATGCTAGCGGTACAAAGAAGAGGGTGGAGACCTCCTGCATTTAAGCTTCTCTAACTAAATATTTTTTGTCATGTGTGGGCTCATTTTAATGTTTGTGGGCTCTGAGGAACATGCAAAAGTGGATTGTAACTGGATATTTGATCTTATACAATGCAGGCTCATGAAAAAGTAGCAATTAAGAAGGTGACTCATGAACAGATCAGGTAGTCCTGCTGTGGCAATAGTAATGGAGGCAAGAATGGACATTGTGGTAGCTGTAACTGCTTCTACTGTCAATTTTGACATTTCACCTTTCTTTTATGAAGGTCCTTAGAATGATGCACTAAAATAGACATGTAATATAGTCTGTTTCTTTTAGCTATTCTAGTCTCCTCCACTAATCCATGTTGTTTACAAATTTATCTGTACCTCAAATGATAAAAAATGTGTGCTAACTTAAGAACTCACTGAGTTTCAGAACAAAGTGCCAATGGAGAGAGTGAGGCAGCATATTTTGTGTTTTATGTAAAATGCTACAGATAAACAACTTGGTCATATAAGTTTCATTTTTAGGCATATAAATTTCAGTATCCTAATTTGCTTTTCTAGAGATCAAAAGCTTGACATGCTCAGGGTGTAGCAGTTCATTTAATTTACTACAAAGTACTCTGCAAATCATAGCCAAAATCTGGCAGCTTTGTTTGAAAAGAATATAAAAAACGTCATATTTTGTTATATAGTTACAAAAATAATATTAACACTAAAAAACATTGTTAGAGAGATGATGCATGTTTTTGTGTAAAAAAAAAAGGATATTTTTTTATGAACTGTGTATTCAGAACTTTTATTTTCAAAATCTGTGAGACTGATATCAAAACAGTTCTTTTATATTGTATGTTACATTACAGCCAATATTTGTCAGGTAACCTAACCCAGTGTCCACAATACAAAGAAAAAACATATTTACCAAATTAGCTTCTTGAATGACTATATCCAGTTGGAAATACTTTCATATACTGAATTTTATGTTGAATTCCTAGGTCTGTTATTTACTGAGTTGTGCATAGTTCATCACGTTAAGAATCTATCAATAACAAATTTAGAAGTTATGCGCGATTTTAAAGGAATACTAATCCTTCATCAGTTCTTACAATTACAGCTGTATAATCAAAATTTCCATCTGTTAGCTTGGCTCTATTTTTCAAAACTTTGGTAAAATTAACTGGAAGTGAAATAAAGATTTTTCTTTTAAATCTATCATGCTCTCTTTTGGTACTAGATTTCCCTGCAGGGGCTAGGTTTAAATTAATCTTTAGACTGCTCAGGAAAGTTTTGTGTAATCATAGAAGTGGTGATGACAGAACATTGTTTTCCAGGAGTTGTCTAATAATAGGACTGGCTCATTTCCAATTTACTAGAGATTCTGTATTAACTATTGCTTCCAGGGAATTAAAATTATTCAAGATTCTTTATTATGTTGTTGAAATGCAACAAAATAGTAAAGGTGCTGAAAAATTAATAATATCCTTAACTTCAAATAAAGTGATTCTGGCATATGCTTTCTCCTTCCTAATTTTGTGATCAAACATTGTGCATTCTGCTATCCCTTAAGAGTTTCTTTTCTGTATGACAAGGATACTTAGACCCAGTCCTAAATTCACCTATGAATCTTGGATCATCCGTTCTTAATACTCACTCATTTTTCTGTGCTTCATTTTCTTCCACCCTTCTCTGGCCTTCCTGAAGTAACTTTAGCATTATAGAAATGTTGGTTGGAAAGGAGTGCTGGAGGTCATCTAGTCCAACCTCCTGCTCAAAGCATGACAATCACCAAGAGTAGTCAAAGATGACTGTGTTAGCTGACCCATGTAAACCTCCAGGAACCAAGGTTTTACAGTCTCGCTGGGAAACCTGTTCCATGGCTGCACTGCTTTGGTGCACGGTATTGCCTAATATCTTCTGTGAACCTTCAAAGCTGCTGGCTATGTCTTGCTGTATCACGTCAGCCCCCACTAAGAAAAGTTTGTCAAAGTGTGTTCTGTTTGCCCACTTTTGTCCAGGTTGTTGAGGAAGCTGTTGAACAGCAGTCTCCAGAATGTGCTCCCCAAAACTACCAGGTGTTGCTATTTTCTTGCTGCTGACCCAAATCTCTGAAAAAAGAGGATTTTCATCCCTCAGAATTTTCAGTTCTCATAGTCTTACTCACTGACAAGGTTTTTGTCAGTTACTCAGTTCAAATAGCTGTGTTTCATGCAGTGGATCTAACAGTTTCAATGCTGCTGGATTTTGTAGGAGAATCCAATGCTGTAATTCATAGAATCATAGAATCATCAAGGTTGGAAAAGACCCTTAAGACCATCAAGTCCAACCGTTAACCTATCACTGCCAAGTCCATCTATACCATATCCTCGAGCACCACATCTATCTGTTCTTTAAATACCTCTAGGGATGGAGGTATCCATTATTTTTTACAGAATGAAATTATCCAGGAGAAGCAGGCTGGCAATGTGCAGTACAACAGACCCATTTATGACTTCAGAGTAGAGACCGTCTTCTGCACCAGGTTGAGGGTTACTCAAGTTGGAGAAGATCTATTCTTGTGGTTTTTTCTATATTCTTTAGTCTTTTGTACTGAGTAGGAGATGATGATCTTTCTGTTAGAGAAGATCATGAAGAGTAAGGTGGATGCATCTTTTATTGTATCTTACTTTCTCAACAAGAACTCAGGTGAATGACTTGAATGCTGAAAGAATTTAGAGATTCTATTGGTAAAATTGCTGTCTATTGGGTAAAAATTTCTGTCATTCAATTTTAAAAACAGAAAATCTTTCTCTTAATTTTAATAGATAAGAGTTATAATTCATGAAGTTGCTTTTTAGTCATGTTTATTCCTTATACAGAGCTAAATCCTTTGAAGTCTACAAGGACATACCATTAGGATGCATCTTGTTGGAGTCTCATTTTTTCACACCTGCACTGAGGCTTACAAGATCAATTCTCACCTTGTCATACTCTACTGAAGAATCAAACTACTGTAACTTGGAATCTTGCTGTGGTATTAAATACTTTCACAGATGCTATCCACTGCTTTGAGACTATAGGCAGCTGCTTTAACATAACTTGTAGTCAAAACAAATTTCCTACTAGCTATTATTATACTTCTGTCAGAAGAGTAGTTGAATTAAACTGTCTGGCACAGAGCTGGGTTTTCCTGGCAAGAATTACATAGCCAGCAGTGGACACTGAGAAATGCTGGCACCAGAATTATTGTATTATCATTAGACACTTGATTTTTTTGTAGTATTTGAAGGTATTCTAATATTCAAACAATTTTTAAAGCCCTCAGATTATCTCCATCGCAGTTTAAAAATTTGTGTAGAGGTTTTATTGCAAGCTTCAGAGTCCAAACGTCTGCCCTGTGCTTGTCCTTGGGAGACAGCTAAGAAACCATACTTAACAAGCTGCTTTAGCCTAGAAGTCTCTCAAACGGTTCAAACACTATCAGTAGACAAGATGTGGTCTTTTTTTATTAGATTGCTACCCAAACTGTATCTATCGTGCTTTCCTGTAGGAAGTTGTCTCTATGCTTTGCTATATTAAGAAAAATATTTCAGAGGATGAGAGACAATAAGATATTTTTCTTTAATTTTCTCACAATGTTGAAATTACTATCTTTAAAAGAATTATTTTCTAATTTAAGTTCTCCCTTTATCTATATTACAGTCTCAGCTTTATTTTTAATCTTCATGTTTTCATGGATTCACAAAGCACAAATTCACCATGTGCTAATCCTTCTGCTCAGATATTGCTTACTTAAGATCATTTTGAAGACTGTAGTAAATTATTCCTACTAATTTTGTTTGATTAGTAAAATTAATTTCCAAATAAATCACCCTATCTTTTGGAGAAGTTCAGAAGCTATAAACCTGTCTTTCTTGTTGAACAAGTGTAATTCTCTCTTTTCTTTCATCTGAGGTCTTATAGGCAGACAGTGACCTCACAGACATGTAGCTACACTTCTAAATTACTTATATGCAGCTGTGAAAAAGAGTTAAAAAGTAATTTCGAATAATTAAATGACAAAACATAAATACTGTGAATACCGTGGTGACAAAGCACCCTATAAGAAAGAGAAGATTTTACCTCTTAGATCAGGAGTTCCTGAAGGCTGTGTTCCAGTGGGTTTCCATTCTACCTCCAGTTTTAAGTGTTTAGATCCACTCTCACTGTTTCCATGTTGTGGCAGTGGCTTTTTTTATGTCTTGTAAAAAGATTTTCTTGTCCTGAGAAAGTCCTCATGTCTTTTCCTGAGGTATTTTTACATGTCCTTCTACTCTTGCTGCAATAGAAAGAGTACTGACTCAAAAGTGGGAATGCCATTGAATCACTCCAGAAAGTAAAGCAAATATACCATAAATGAGTTCTGTAGAAGTGGCATTTTTAAAGGTAGTTACCTTCTTTATATAACTTAGAAAATCACAGCCATGATACATAAAGAAACAAGCTTCAGAGAAGGAAAGTTATTAAGATGAAAAATTCACAGCCAAGTAACTTGAAAAGTAAGGTGCAAAAGAAGTGATAATTGATTACGGTTAATGGAGGATGGATGTAACAGACTATACCCTCTCTGCTTCAATTGTGTTCAGTGTAAATGAGAGTAAAAAGGGAAGAGGTGAAAGCGCATCCATTCCTATCACACATTATTGCATCCTAGTGGTTGTTACAGAATTGTACAAATACTAGTACATTTATTATTATTAAATAATAATTAAAGGCAAATATTAAAATCTGTAATCCTGCTCTTTTAATTATAGATATTTATAATAATATAATGTCATTAATTAATTAAATGGTTAATTTTTAGTATCAGTGGATTCGACACATCTGATTTTTACCTGTCACATCCTTTGGCTAAGAGAAGTAATGCAGAACTGACATAAAATTAGCTTATCTAATTCTTCACAGTCCTTATATTTGAAAACAATGGTTCTTTCAACCAGTATTCTATTTCTGACAAGCCAGTGAAGGTCCAAAACTTCTGGTTCAGATTTTTGCCCAGTTTAACCCAAAGTCTATATGTACTTGCATATTATTCAAAAGAGAACCATTATAATTTCAAAAGATATTTTACTTATGATAAAAGTATTGATAATATGATGCATGTATTGTGCAGAAAGAAAAGAGCTATAGAAGCGAATGAGTGAAGAGCAACTTGCTTATTCAA